CGCTGTTATCCTTTTTGTTTTATTTGCTTAGCGCTTCTGTGCAAAGAAGGACTATCGTGAAGCAAGCGACAAACGAGCAACACGGGTATTGTGGGAGAGAGTTTTGTGTCGTGGCCACAGTTATGGCACATCATCATCATCATCATCATCATCATCATCATCATCCACTTGCCAGCCGTTCTAGTATATAACATTCAGATTAAACTGTCTTACATATTATTTTTTCATTTAGCACATTTACTTTCGTTGTTGTTTATTTTGTGCGGGTGTCGCATTGGAGAGTTGCTTCAAGTTTATTTGCCAGCACTCGAGTGTGTCAAAATTCTGCTTTTCCACACCACAGCATGGTCAAAACGCAATATTTATGTATATATTTGTGTCTGAAGGTATACACAAAAATTGGTATGAAATAATTTACTGCGTATGTGATTTATTCATATATATTCTGTTACTATTTTTAGCTGTACCAGGAATGTCATTATTTTATTTAGTTCAATTATTATGCAAACTAATAAATTCAACAACTCAAATATGAAATCTTAAATATGACACCAATTATTGGGCATGTGATTTTTTTATTATCGAACTCATTATAGCTGCACATATATACAATATACAGTTTTCATGAATTTCCATTTATGAAAAATAATGAGTATTATTGACCTGGTCAATCCTATCTAAAAACTTTAACAACTCATTTACCTGTCACACAAAAAAACACACACATATACATATCTATAAACATCAAATAGGTAATTATTTATGGTCCTTTCATAACCAGAGTTTTATACACAGCCAGCATTTTGAGGTGTGTGAGTGGCCTGCCAAGCCCATAAAAAAGCTACAGCTAAAAAAAGAGAGCAACAAATTATGTTGGCGTGAGCTGCGGTTGTATCTATGCTGATGTGCTGTAGACATGAGATTAGGTGGTTGGGTTTGGCCAATGAGCCACTGGGGGAGTGGATGAAATTGCAGTCAGCAATCTCGCTATTAACTTCCACTTCTAGTGAAGCATAACTTTTTACAACAATAACCCTTTAACTATCCATTAAGGTTTCATTAAAAGCATTTTTTCGCGAGTGCGCCCTTTTGCTTAACATTTTGAACGAATTTACAAGCCGAATAGGATAGTTATCTCTCACAACATTTATTTATTTATGTAAACTTAACTTATAGTCTACAAATCTAAGCTAACCTAGATGAAAGAGCAATTGCAATGAATGCCTTCAACTCGAAACGTCTTACAAAATGATTGTCTTCAAAATGAATAATAGATAGTTAAGAAATTTTCTATTAATGAATGTGTATTTCTAATTAGATAATATACAATAATTTTTGATTAGTCAAGATTTTTGTTTGATAAATATTTAATTATTAATTAACTAAGTAATTTTAGCTACTAACCTTGTATGAAAAGCTTAACGCCTCTAAAAAGTTTACATTTATTTTTCATATTTAATTTATTTATTTGTAATCATGCATTAGAGTATGCTTAGTTTCGGCTTCAAGCTATTAGCGCTAACTTTTTGATGTTAACCCCTTTTGGTTTACTTTGTCCCTTACACGCATAGAACGAGAACCGCAGTGCAACATTTTTTTCCAGCAAAGTATTAGTCTAGTTCTGGGCGTGTGCGTGGCTTTTGATTTATGGTTTGAAATGTTGCATGTTAAGTTTTTTATGTTAATTAAATTGTGTTGGCTTGCGGTGAGTACGGTCAGTTAGAGTGCCGGCTGATCCAACGCTTAACATGGATGTACTCTCCAGTTTGAAGTTTTTGCTCACATGGTCTTACTTAAATGGGCACGTGTGAAAAGCAACCGGCCACTGACCAGAGCTGTAAGCAACGTTCCGGCCACGTAGTGCAAACAAATGAACTGCAGCGGTGTTTATAGTGATTAAAGCTGGCTGGTCTGGGCCTTAAATGCTGTTGACCCAGCCGAGCTGATGCTCGGCAAGTGGACGCAGTAGGAATGCAATGCTTATTAGAAATTCCATTATATGTAGTATACTTATGTGCGTCCGTATGCTTGTTGTGTCAACATAAACTGGCAACGAGGCAGGTGTTGTCTTTGTGCACGCCTCAATGGCGACGTGCACACGGACGACACATATGGTTCCCGTTGGTTCATTTAGCTACGACTCCCGTTTACAGCATTGTGCATGATAAATCTCTCCGTATGCTGCCTAGCCAGCAATCTACGGCTACAATAGCAGCTACGTTGCCGGGCAAACATGTCAAGTAGAAGCAGCAACAATATTCATTTGAATTTTCAACAAAAGCCTATTAAATACCAAAACAATACTCCATCACACATACACCCCCACACATGTAGACACACACACACACGCACACACACAGAGTCTCTAGACATACATTATATTGGGCCCTGTCGTCTGTTTGGTGTTGACTCCTGTACGCGAACGAGTCCACAAATTATTATGCAGTGATAAATATGCCCACATTTCACTTGTTTCCTCCAACTCCTCTTACTCCGCTCTTCTCAATCGCCATCTGTTTTTATTTGCGCTGCTTGGCAGGGGCTGGTTAAGAGGGTATGTTGGCAGTGTTTGCCTGTTGCTTGATCCAGGTTCAAGAATATTCCCATTGAATGTATTTTCAGGTTTTATTTCTTTGTAGCTGCAATAACTCGAGCTGTCGATTGTGAGTTGTGAATCTGTTCAGGTTTTATATAGGACCACAGTATTTTTTAATTCTAAAACAATATTAGTTTCATTTTAGTGCAATATGTAGTAAAAAGATTAAACTAATGTGCATTTTATGAAAATTATTAAAAAGTACTGCACACTTAAAATTGTTGGTTAAAATTAATTTGGATGCCTAAATTACTGAGCTACATTTTATATTTACTAGTACATTTCTGTTGCGCAGTTGGGATCTCAATGTGGCAATATTCGCACTAAACTTGGCTAAAAGGTTTATGAAGGTATCCAATGCTTTGACACATCTATCAATTTAGTTGATTTATTTCTCTTCTGTTTTTTATTACTCCCAGCAAGCACACTAAAATAACAGCCAGTTTTAGCCTCTCCAAACACACGAAAAAAAAATTCGAAAAGCTCTTCAGCAAATACTACTATCATAAAAAACAAAGCGAACCGTACATAAAAACTAAAACCAAACAAAAATAACTGAACAACATTTTTATATCTAACTTTTCAATTGAGTATCACTTGCGGTTTTAAGGAACCTGATGCTGGCAACATTGCCTCCAAAACGAATGCACTCCAGTATGATTGAAAAACAATAAACAAGACAAAAAAAAGAAAAGAATGAACTGCCTAGATGCTGGCCAGCTGCATGAAAAGAGACTGCGGTGAAAATGGCGTGAAAACTGTTTACCCCTGTGCGTCCAGAGAATAGCCGAAAGCCGGAGGGCAACAGCAGCAGCTGCAGTGGCGACCACAACAACAAATGCAAACAGCATTGATACTGAAAACAGTTGCTGGATGTATCAAAGAAGAGGTTCGCGGTCCAGCGGATCCAGGAGTTACGAACTAGTAACTATGGTTCTCCGACCAGGCAGCGCGGAGTGGGAAACCTTGTTGTGCTGTACTTGTAAACAAATCTCAAAAGGATAAGGGCAATGCACTTGGAAGCAAGCACTTAGTCGAATCGAGTAAATATGTAAGCTGTGCGGAAACTTTTCTTGTCATGCATCTTGGCGCGAGCACTCTTATATACTCTGTAAACCACAGTGCTCATGTGTGTTTGTGTGTGCGGATTTATAGACATTGTTTGGCTTGTTATACATGGTGCCGGTGTGTGGGTTGTATGATATCATGGAGCACATTTCAACCAAACACTAACAAGCAAAACTTTTTGCAGCATTAAGCAAGAATTTGCGGTTGCTCTGTGTTCAGCACTCCTTTGTACACTTTGAGAGTTTCGACTGATTTTTGCAATTTCAATTTCAATTATCAAGCAAACTGCATTTTCAATTTCGATTTTCGTTTGCAAATATTTATGGCACAGAGCTTTAAGGAAAAGTTTAGGGGCAACACGCCCACAGGTCATCGTTAGCTTTGTTGGCCAATTATGTGGACTCGTAGAACATTAGGTTCAAAGTATTATAATGTATTTGGCAGGCTCCAAACGAGACGATGTGCGAAAAAGAAAAGCTACAGAGACCATAATGAAAACCATACCATACCATTCCATACATGCCATAATAAGCAGATGCAGACATTGCCCTTGTCCCGTTATGCAAACAATTCCCAATGGTAATTTATAATACGCAGCTGGTATATAAAGCAACGACAACAACACCACTAAAAAATGAAAATAATTTTATTTTTTATTTACCTCGCGAGAGGCTCACGCACACACACATAGACACACACACACACACACACACACAGAGACCGTTTCCGGATGAAAGAAGAGTTCTCGAAGGACCTCGGCAAAGCCGCAAATGATGTGCCATTATTCTTAAGGGTACAGCCACATGAAATGTGACCCAAATAAGATATAAAATTTTTGTTTTTTTTGGAAAGTCTTGTTAGGCTATGTCCCAACGCTTGTAAACAGCCAAGCGACTTCCTCTTGCGTTCTGAATTATGCTACGTATTTGTTGACAAACGACTTTCAAATGGGCGGCCATAAAGCTGCCGGAAATTGCCGTTGATTGTTTGGCAATTAATAAAACTCAGATTCGGCGCGAAAGCAAAGCTGTCTCTTAGTTAAGATGTTATGCAACCTTATTGATAGTTTTTTTTTCAATCTAATTTATTATATGAGAGCCATGAACTTTACTCGGATTTTGTCCGAATTAATAATTACAGGGCTAAGTTCAGATGGGAGCTGAGAATACTTTAGAAATAATAAAAAAAAATTAATAAAATAAATATACGTAAAGAACTTTTTAATATTCTGTTTGGCAATATTTCAATTATTTTATTATTTTTCCAATAGTTGCAAGTAAAATAAATTGAAATCGCATTTATATATCTGTGTCTGCTTTTATTTTAATCATTTCAGAGTTGGTTGAGTGCGCGCTGCGCAATGTCAATTTAATCATTGAACCTCCGGCAGTGCGACAGGGTCAACATGTGGTGCTGCGTTGCATGTATGATCTGGATGGGGCACCGCTTTATTCGGCCAAGTTCTATCGTGGTCAATTGGAGTTTTACCGTTATACACCCGGCGAGTTTCCCAACACAAAAGTGTTTCCTTTTCCCGGCATACACGTTGATGTAAGTATTGCAAAAAAAAATGCACTCACATACACACACACACACACACACACACATTTTGAGGTAACAGTTTGTGAAGGGATTGTTGGTACGCCAATATATAAAAGGAAAAACGAAAACTTTGCCGCTGTGTACAAAGGGCTTTTTAAAGCATCCGCAACTTTGGCAGCTTGTTAACGTTGAATGCAAATGCAGCTGCCCATCCGTCGAACAACTAACTACCTTGTTGTCGTTCGAGCCCAGGTTGACCATCTAGGAGTCGCGCGGTGCTCTGGAGCTGAAAGTGTGGCCGGGACTGGTCGTGGGGAAGCGATGGTCTTAGCTTTGGCAGTGGCTATGGTAGTGGCAGTGGCGTCACTTTGACGACCTTAATGGCGCGCATACTGCTTTTATTTATATTGTATATTTTATAACTTTTCGCTCATGCATATTCAGTTTGACAGTTTTATTGTTATTGGCGGGTATTCAAAAAAGCCAGTTCATGCCAAGACACCTGCAACGGCACCTGCCAGCCTGAATTCCATGCAGCTATCGGTGCGGCTATCGGCAAAATATTTTCATTTAAATTTTTGTGTGTGCAGTGTCGGTAAATTTGGTTCTCCACCTGCAGCTGGCTCCCCCTCCAATAATGTTCCGAGTACAGAGTCGGATAATTTTGCTTTGGCTAGGTTATTGAAAAAGTTTCCATCCAGCTGGAGGCTGATATCTGGAGGCTGGTCCTGGGGCGTCATGGAAATTTTGTTGCCCAACAAAGTTGCACTGAATCTGTCCAAATATTTCATCAGGCTATTGAGTTTGTGCCAGCGAGTTTATCTTTAGTTTTTGTCGTCCCAAAACTTTTACTTAGTTGCGGGCTTATGTTTAATTTCTTTTCTGTATTTTTATTTTGCTTTTATGTGCGATGTGCTATGTTTGTTTTAGCTGTTTTAATATATTTAAGTGCACCCCATTGCCAGAAAACATTAAATACAAATTGGCATGTTGGCAAGACATTGGATTGAATAAATATACCTTGACCTTAATACAATATTTGACTACTTATATTTAAGTCAATATTTCTGCTATTTTTATACTTTTTTAGGTAACCAACTCAAATGCAACCCAAGTACTCATACGCAATGTTGGTTTTGGTCTTTCCGGCAACTTTTCATGTGAGGTGACCGCCGATGCGCCACTTTTCTCCACGGCAACGGCTTTGGGAATAATGCAGGTTGTAGGTAAGTAAAAAAACGGATATTAGATGAGAGCGATCAGCCAATCAAATAACGTGACATTTGAACAATCTAAGCACGCTTGTCTTAAGTCTACATTAAGTACCTGTAGCTGTGGCGGCTTAAGTGGTTAAAAAAAAGTTTCGAAAAGCGGCAAAGGCAATTTGCTGGGGTTTAAGGCTGGGGCAGCAGCTGCTGCTGATTTAAAAGTTTTGTGGGCCAAGCAACTTGTGTTGAAAATTGCGTCATTAACAGGCTATTCCTCGAGCAAGATAAACATGGTGTGGAGGTGATGCTCAAAGCTTGTCTGGGGCCATTTGGTAGTCCTGTCGTCGCGCCAAGGATTTCACGGCCTTATGCGTTTTAAATGAGCATGCGATGGCGCGCTTTGAATTAGAAAGTTTAATCAGTATGCCAGATTCATGGTTGGCAATAAAAAAAATGCGAGCTATACAATTGTTTAGTTTTTCATTGAGCAGCATAATAAAAATAGTAATCACGACTTTAAGTATGCACAGTCGAGGGCGGCAAGCATTGCTAATAAACGCCAGCAACAATTGGCTCTACATTCGTTTACTACTACGGTAACTGGGTCGATAGCTCATAAATGGCACACAGTGCGTATGCGTAATCGCGGCTAGGCGATGGGTCTGGTCCACCCCGAGCAGCAGCCACCGCCTCGCAGTTAATCTTTATATTCGCTTCCCATTAAATATTCGAGAAATTCGCACTGACAGCTCAATTCTGCCTCAGTCGCTGATTTTTATGCCACTTGCCGCGCAATTTTCTCCCTGCCACCACACACGACCCTCTTGAGTTACTTGTGTTTGTATGATTGAGCACTTGCCTCCGATGGTTAGCTGAGGATGTCTGTCTGCTTGGCCGTGTGGCTGCTGCGTGGCAGTTAGCTGTGCGATGTTGGCTGCTTGCTTATTGCCCGGCATTAAACATTTAGTTGTGCGCGTCTGGCGCGTAACTGGATGCCTTTATTAGATTGCCATTACCTCAACGCCTTGCCGAGTCTGGTCGCCAAGTCGGCCAGTAGCCCTGACTGGCTCCTCCGCTCGCTGTGTGAGCTCAATATATTTAACGCCGCATTTAGCTCGCTTAATTGGCCGCTTTTGCTTAACTGGCATCAAGGGATTAAAGCTTTGATCAAGCATTTGCTTTAAATTCATGAGGTTGGCAACCGTTTGGGTCCTTCAAGGACGCCTGTTATGGTCTGTTGGTTTACTTATTCAAGTTTCATTAAACGTCGAGGATTTTAATTGGTTGCGTGTGTTTGTAACGCTTTTCGTTCTTGTTGCTGTTGTTGTTGGTGTGTTCGATGATGTTGTTGCGCCTCCACACACACATCAATATGAGATAAGCCAGCTCGCCTGACACACTGACAGGACGTTGTCTGGGCCTGAAAAGTCAAGTGCGTGTTAGCTCATCTGTGTGAGTATCGGTGTGTGTCTGAGTGTGTATGGGCGTGTGTTTGCCGCTGTATCCGTGCATTGTGTAGCTAAGCATTTGAGGCTTATAATGTCGTCGACACTAAGACCCCAATAACTTGCGGGCTAAACAATAAATTACTGCAGCGGCAACCCAAACACACACTGAAAGCACATTGCGCATACGCCTAGCATTCAACTAAATTTGCTATACCGAAGCTTTAATATGCAAAAGAAAAAGTATGTTAATGTATTCAAGGTATATGTATTGATATTTTTAGCATACTTTGTGTATGGAGAGTTGGATACTTTAAGCATCAAACATAATTCATTCAGAAGAATATACCTGAAAAGTAAATGGCTTTAATAAATTATTTTGTTATATTAATAACAATAATAATATAAAAAAACCCACTTCACTTATAGATTTCATCTTAAAGTTAAGATGCACAGCATGTAGCATAGGAAAATCACTTTCCATTGGTAACAATGCAGAGCATTATTACATCTTTGCTTTCTAGCTTGAAAGCAGCTTGGGTTCGAAGAAAATATAAAAAAAAAAATTACTAGTTGTGGTATAAAGATTCTTTCAAAACTAAAGCCATGGTCCCAATCGATTTCCTGTGTCGGTTTGTGTGACTAAAGCAAACCTAACTACAAAGTCGTAACCAAGAAAGATTCGTTATCTTAGTCATGCTGCTGATTACACTTAATCTGCTGAAATTCAAGGATATAGGAACGGATAATTGTAATCTGAATTCATGTTATTCATATGAAGATCGATGGCATATGGTACAAACATAAACTTCACGTTGAAATCTGATATACCTAATAAATATTTGTTGAAGAAGACTTCACATACATAGAGAAATATATAGACAAGGATATAAATTTAAATACCTTATACGAACGGGCACAAAAATGTTCGTTTATTTATCTCCTTTTACTCAAGAAGTCAGTCATAAGTACATTTGATCCTTCAATTCACTTTAATTTTATTGATTTGCTGGCTATTCATTTTATTTGTGCTTCGACTTTCTTTCTGATGCCGTCGCTCTGACATTTGTGGTCACTTATGTTTTATGCATTTCTGTTTCCGCTTACCGAGGCTCCTTCATTCATTAATGCACCAGCAGCGGTAGCAGCAGCTCCCTTATTCATGTAGCCGTGTCCTTGGAGTAAATGATTCTGAGGTTTAATCGTGTGTTAATGAGCTCAAGTGGCAATCAGATTGCGGGCCACGCTAAGACGGTAAGACAAAAGCGAAGGCTAAACTTAAATGCGAGTGCGTCTCGTGTTGCCTTACACATAAAATAAACACTTTGTCCTTGCGCTCTTTATGGTAAACAACAGCAATGGCGGCAACTGCCCCAATTTGGTTGTTGGTAGCACATCACCTCGCAGCATAGGGCCTAAACAAAACGTCGTCGACGTCGCCTTCATTGCTGGCATTTGAATGCCAAGGCAAGTCTCTGCAAAGTTATGCTAATTCACGCTTTCATTAAGTCACAATGGAACACCACGGCTTCTGGACTCAGCAGGCGACCCAAAATGCCATGGCACATGGTCGTGCAAGTTTGTAGATAGTTCGCAAACATTTGCTGGGCTTAAACTTTAATAACTTAATGACATAAGTCAAGCGGGGATTGAGCACAGCGAGAGGTGCTGTTGGCCAAGTGTAAAGTAGGCTGGTCAGCTGCCAAATTAAACTTGAAGCCGACCCCGCACCAGCTGACCCTCATTAGGAGCCTTTTTTGACTTCGCAAAAGCCAAAGGAAAAGGTCAAAATCTAGGGAGAAAAAAGCCACAGCCGCCAAAGGAATAGTTTGGGGGATGGTACATACAGTCTGTCTGTGTGTCAGGATTAGAAGGCGAGCTGCCTTGAGCTATGTGGGGCACAGTGGAGGTACCAGGAACAAAGTTACCGTTGCTGTTGCTGTTGCCTTTGGCGTTGCCGTTGTCCCCTTTGTCATGGAAATTACTTTCTTCATTAGTTACTTTGCTTGTGACTTTGACTTTGCTTTCAGCTGACTTAATTAAAAAGTTGAGTATTGCTCCGCCCTCTGTTGTGGTGTGTGGTACTGAAAGGATTGGGCTTTTGGTCGGTACTGCTGCGCCACTTATACGTCTATTAATATTTTGTAAAGTGCCCGAAGGTAAGGGTCCTGGACTGGTCAGCAATCTAATTGAATCCAAGCAACTTCAAACTAGATGACTAAATACTTTTTGGTCTGATTGGGATTTTTCTGGGTTTCCCAATTCTTGCAGCAAGTGTTGAATTATTTTCCATTTTAATACTTTCAGATGTCTTATAATTTGTATTTTAATTTAAACTTTAACTAAACTTCTAAGATAAATGATAATTTTTTTATATGTTTGCAGAACTTCCCGACAAACGGCCCACACTTTATACGGAGCACACTCGCTATGAGCCGGGCGATGTCCTGCGGGCCAATTGCAGCACGCCGCCATCTCGTCCACGAGTCGAGCTCAAGTTTACCATCAATAACATGGTGGTAAGTACAGTTATTGGTGAATCAACAATTTAAATTTATCTATTCATATGCTTGCGACTAACAGCAAGTCGCGAGAGACGCAGATGGCATAGAAATCCACTTTATTTTTATGTAGCTATGAAAAAATATGAAACTTATATAAAAAATCAAAGGAGAAAGAGAAAGGGAAATGGAGCTCTAGAAAAAAATCTGACAGCGGGTCAGCGATTATTAATGTTCAAAGCTGTTGAATCCTTTGAAGTTGTGGTCTATTCCGATGAGAAATGGAAATGAAAATTTGCCAACGTTGATTGGTAAAGGGGGGAAAGGAGGAAAAAGGCAGTATTGTGGAACTGCCTTCCAACTGCTTGCCTTTGTCCGTACACCAACACGTCGTATGCGCAATTTTACACCCTGCCAACCAACCAGCTAGCGTACACATTGTCATGTATATTAACAATGCATGCAGCGCAGCTGTGGCTCCCTTCTTGTCGTTTGGTTACACTGGTGAAAACGGATTTCTATGCGGCCGCAGCAAACATTACAAGCACCAGCTCCTTTGTGCGTTCCAGTTTTGCCCGACCTTATCTCCTAGCCCCCATTGCATTTGGGACTCGCAGCTGCTCGTTTGGGCTGGCTGTCATTTTTGGTGAATTTTCACTATAGCTTGGCATCCCCCTGTTGGCAATGCCAACTCTGGCCAGCTGTCACTGCGAGAAAGATTTTTGCTCTACATTTTCATGAAAATGCATGCCTCACGCTTCATAATGTACTCGCTGCTGTTGCTGCTCCAACACACCTTTAACTTGATGGCTGACTGTGCTCCGAGTCAACCTGGTTCATTGGTTCAGACCAAGATATAAAGACCAATTAAATGGTTACCATAAAATTGTTATCATCCGTAAATTCCAAGCAATTAAACTCTTGCGTAGTGACAGTCTGATTCTCAATAATAGATGAGCGTTAGAAGTGTAAAATGTTGCATCACTTAGATTTACTTTAAAATTATGTAGCGCGGTTGCACAAAAAACTGAACTGGCTCCACTGAAAAATTCTTTAAGCATGATTGATGGCAAACTTGTTTTCAAAAGGCGTTCAATATTTTTTCTTCGTTTAATTCAATTACGCAATATTGATCAGGAAATCCCAATTTAGTTCGGTATATTTTCATATTGACAAGAAAACATTTGCAATGATTAAGGGAATGGGTCCATATTATCTAACTTGGTTGGCTTCTTGGCGTTGCCTTTGGGCGTTTTCAAAGTGTTGTCATGCCATTGAAAAATGGTTGCCACATTCCTTCAACTTTACCATGCTCACATTAAACATGATAAATGAATTCAAATCATTTGCACCGCAATAACTGGAACGCAGCATGAGCCAAACTCCTTCGACTGCCAGCCAGTAGCGCTGGAGAGGGAGAGAGATTGAGAGAGAGAGAAACAGTTACAATAACAGCAATGATATCAAAGCGCCGTTGTTGCTTGGAAATAAAATGATAGCTTATCGGCAAGTTGGGTAGCGAACACTTTTTGGGCAAGTGCCATTGCCATTGCCATTGCCATTGCTATTGCCATTGCCTTTGGTGTTGCCAATTCGTAGGAAGGCAACAAACCGTAAGCAAACGTGGCAGACGTTGACTAAAATTGAGTAGAAAACGATACCGCAGTAGGAGGAAGATATATTGCAATTGCCGATCACAGGAAACAAATGAATATTTCATGCTGTGCAAATCAACAAGAGGAAGGGGAAGGCAAGCACACACACACACACACATACATACACACACTAGCATATTTCACATGCCATTACAGTAGCAGCTTCGCAGCAACAAAGTTTACGTTTGAAGGTAACCTGCCACAGGAGCAATGCCAGAGGCATCTGGAGCCGTTGCTGAACTTTATGTTGACAAAGTTTTTTGCGGTAAAAAGCCACATCAGTAATTTGCAGAGCATGCACACACATAAGAACACATCCATACTTGCACATATATACACCCCAAGCCATGACATATGTGGCCTGGTTTTAGGGGATGCTGTGGCTTCGTTTTCGGCTGGCTGCTTCCGCCGGGCCAGGCATTAATCATTTGGCATGTAAATTGCCAATTAATAACTGCTGCATGTCATTTGGCATTCGGCTTCAAAATATTACGCAAATTTGCCGGCAGGCAGGCACTCGGAACGGATTGGCGTTAAGGTTGAGTTGAAGATGCTCGGGCCAACGAACTTTTGTAAACATTTGCCAACTGCTAGGCGCATTCGCATGGTGCCCTTAATGAAGACAAATAGCACTTTAGCCCTGCCAAATTTAGCGGAAAATTGAAAAAAGCTTCTCCGAGCAAGACGTGGAGTATTTCCAACTACCAGCTTTCATGCGCCAAAGTTCTTGGCATCAGCCCCAAGATATTGCAGTGCCATCCACAATTTCTATGTTATCGATATGCTCCCAATGCATTGCATGCAGACAGACTGTAAAACGGCAAATTGTACACAATGCGACCAGGACATACTATAAAATATAGTTATTGTATTTTTCCTCCCAAAGAGTATAAGCAAAGTATTTGAATGGCTTTTATTTATTTGAATGTGTGGCTGCTCTTGCGAATTTTTCATTAAAGTGAAAAAAAGAAATGTCCATTTAGATCATAAACTACAGAAAAGAGCATAATTGATTAGTCTATAAAGCACAATGGTTTTTTAAATTGATACAAATTTAAGTTTTTGAATTTATTATCCAACAATAATACAATTATGTTTGTACAGTATAAACACTGCGGAATTATTGTTTTATGTGCAAAGCGAATTCTTTCATTATAATTGTACTTATGAAATGCAGTTTTTGGGCTGTTGCTGAGCAGCTTTGCATTTGCATGTGGTTTTTCTTCAAAGTTCTGGCAAAAAAACACTTAGCGACAATATGTTAGATACAATTTTACTGCTTTGTGTCGCTTTGTGCAACACCCTCTAAGCACATTGTGTTTGTCTCAGTTTTTTTTTTTTTTTTTTAGGTCTTAAGAGTGCTGTTGCTCATGGCAAATGCACAAAACTATTAAGAATATATAATTTCTCGTATGTTCGTGCAGAATGCAAAAGCTGTGAGTGTGTGTGCTTTTTGGCATGCGCATAAATAAAAATTATTTATATAAGCGCAAATCCTTATCCACATTTACACACGGACACGCTCGCCGCACACACACACACACACTTAGAAATAGGGATAGAAAAAAATATAGAGCGATAGAGAGAGAGAGAGAGAGAGAGACAAGGAAAGATAGCAGGCTAGACCCGGGGACAGCCGCAAAAATTCAGCCCTGGCTACAATTTTACAGTGAATTGCACTAAATAACTGCCATTAAGCATAAAAGCTGTTCTCGCATGAAGGAGCTGCTGGCAGCATTTAAGCTAAATGCAAGTTTAAGCATGTTGGAGCTGGCGCAAATAAAGTGGACTTACGCAGCAAGGATACAAATAGACACACACAAACATTCGGACATGCACTTGGACACACATATACACACACACGCGCAGTGAGAAATTGCTATGAGAGACACTAATACAAACGTATTGCAAATAAAAGGCTAAGAGTGGCGCGTATGTGGCAAGAAAGGCAACTGAAAAACTGGCAAAAAGTTTCATCAATGTGTCGTCTGGCGCATTTGATGCTGCATGCCGCATGTCCTGCCAGAATATATACTCCCCGCATATATCCATTTGCCACGGCCAGTGCCACTAATGTGCGCAATTGTAAGACGCTTCCTTCTTGCGAATATTTGTTTGTGTTGTACTCCAGACGCCGACTGCCGCTGCTTTTTGCTGCATTACATTAACACAGATAAAGTTCCTTGATACATAATTTCCATGCATACACAAATAGCCGCCAGGCTGAGATGCTGTGCTGCGCTGTGCTGTGCTGTGCTGAGCTGAGCTAAGCCGAGCTGGCTGCACATGTGGCCTCTCTTCTTAGTCTACACCTCCTCTCGCACGCTGTGCCAACTTGCACATGGCGACAAGATGCTAGCTGGCAAAACTTTTTGCTTGTCCGAAAGCAAGCAAAAGTATTACGAGTACCGGAACTAAACGTTGCCAAATGTTGTCATTGTTGTTGCTCTCCTTGTTTTTGTTGTTTTAATTCTTTCTGCTGTCGCTTTAAAATATGCTAATGCATTTGCGAGCGCTGAATAAATATCTCTTTATTCCCGTCTTACACTCTTCATCTCTCAATATTTTATCTCTCCTTGTCTATCTCTTTGCAGATCACAAATGCCGAGACCCAGTTTATTCGCACAATTGATAATCTGATAGCCTCACGCATCTCACTGAAACTGCAGCTTCAGGGCGTCCACTTCTCCAGTGTCAATCCGGCCATTTATAACAACGGATACGGCTTGAATTCGGTATATGGCCACGGCGGACCTATGTATGCGCCTAATCCGGGCGGTTTGGTACTGCGCTGCACTGCACAGATTGGCGACCTGTACCAGGAGTATAAGGAGGTCGAATTGGGCACACCGCAAAAAGATCCGGTGCCGGCACGTGGTAAGTGCAATTTGAAATCTGTGCGCGCTACCATTCTAAACTAATTACGCAATAATATATATTTGACATCCGCTTCCGTTTTCTGAATTTCTATTTCTTCTATATATGCTGGATCCTGCTTCCGGCTGCAGTTACGCTCTCATCCGGTTCGAGCATGAAAAACTTCTTTAGCACGTATTTCTCCACATCGGCGGCATCCCGACGCGTCGGCGGCGTCCACTTGGCGCCCATCACAATGGCGCTGGCAGCCCTGCTTGTCAGTAGCGGCGCCCTGTTCAGCCATATTGTCCGCGAGCTCGTTACGCAGCTCGTTCCCATTGAAGCCCGCCCAGCTATCGCTTCTATTGCGCATTCCAAGTCCACTAAGAGTCGTCTGTCCACGCTGTTCTGCCTCCAAGGCGCCAATGCAGCGGCTGGCAAGGCCAGCTCGGAGATAGTAAGCTTGGGTGCGAGCTGTGGGCAGCAGCAAAAACAGCAGTGGCAGTTGGAGGAGCTCTCTGTATGTGTTACAAATTAGTTTAATTGTTAAGTAATTAAGTTTAAACATATTTTGTATGCAAATTACATTAACTAAGTGCGTATGTGTAGTCAACCATCATTTGATCATCGTTTAATTACTGCTTTGATTATTTTTTACAATTTTTGTTTTTTTTTATTGTATTGGTTTGTAATCTTTATTTGATAGCTATTAATGAACTCTACATTTTCAATGTGGTGTCTAAACTAGCGAGCTAAAAAACCAAAGTAATTTTAAGCAACGATTTGAATTTAGCAAAGTAAACACAGAGTATATCGGAGAAACCCAGAAGCCAGATAAATCCATGCATCCATTAAATAAATGTTTACAACCAAAATTAATGTAAAATTAAAACTACTTAATAAATGTGAAAAAAAAACTACTAAAAAACAAAAGGTATGTGTTGAAAATAATATAATTACAAACGGAAATACAAAAAGAAAAACTGTGTAAAATATATTTAACAAATGCATTAATTGACTATTAATGAAGTCTACTCGTAAAATGATCGCCTTGTGAGGGCATAATGTAAATGGTGGTGAAATTGAATAAAAATAAAAAACAGTGTTAATTTTAAAAATACAAGTACTTATTGTCTTTAATTCATTTGAGGGTGGAAACTTACAGGAAACTGAAAATATTTCTCCTGCCAAGATAGAACATTCTTTTGCTAGTTGGCAAAGACGAACTGCAATTCATTCAACCGACAACCAAAGCGGCATTTTTCAAATCAAAAAGTGTTTGTACTGTTGATTTTTGGCGCTAAGAAATCTTTCTCAACATTCCTGCAACAAAGGCTGGCAACTTCACAGTGACTGGCGCTGCTTATTGTCTGTATTCGGCATTGCATGCGAAAGTGTGAAAAAAAGTTTCCTTAACGCAGCGAAAGAGCAGAAAGAAATGTAAAATAATATAAGGAATCTAGTTCAGTGCATTGTGTGCGGCATCCTTTTTAGTTGCCGTTTCCGTTCCATTCTGCATGTGCATTTTATACTTATTATTGTGTTCAGTTTCTTTGCAAAATTATTGAAGAGCGAACAGCTATTTCTTTTCAGCTATTTCTGGCAGCCAACAGTTCCTAGAGTTCCTCCCTATCCAAACTTCAGGCTGGCACAAAATGTTGAGTGGGGTCCTTGACTCGATCTGTTTTACTACTGAAATAATTACAATCATGTACACACTACTTGCAATGTGAACGTGTATATCTGTATATACACTGTCTGAGAAGCTAACAAGACAACAAACCCACTGGTTAACTGATTGTGTCTGTTTCTACGACAACTGCATTTATATTTGGATTATTTGCATAGAAAGCATTGCACAAGTATAACAATAATTCATTGCGAAAATTCTGAAGAATATATTACAGCTGCTGAAATACTTTAGGTATTATTTGCTCCGCAGACTTGACCTGAATGTCAAAAGTTGTTTGTTATTCGAAATGAATTTATTGTGTATTTGTATTTATTTGGTATTTGGCTCGTCCAGCATAAAGTGACCAAATTTAGGTGTCAATCAAGAATTGGATTGCATGCATGCAGAGTCAAGCATAAAATCGAGAATATTTCATTGATACAAGTGAAAACTGTAAATAACCTTCATGAAATTTGAAATTAGGATTAATTTAACGTTAGGTACTATATGTAAAATATTGATATATTTGCATCTATATTTAATGACTCTAAGTACGATTTGTTTTTTGAAAAATGTATTGCCTTCGTTTTAAAATTTTGTTGGCTATCATAAATAAAATACATTTTATTAATGGTTGGTACTTGTAAGTCAGCGCGTTTTAAAATGTGTTCTGTTCAAGTATGAATTAAGGCTATAAATTTTCTTTTTTGATATAGAATTTCTTAAAAGAATGAAAATAAAATATGCACACTTTCATATTTTGCCATCAATGTATCAACACAGAATAATGATTAAGAGACGCTGAATTTAATTAATGTATTACGTTTGGTGTGTGGATATAAAGTATAAAAACAACACAATGCGTGCTCAATCAAAGGCTGCCCTAATTGGGGAGCTATGAGCGAGAATGCCTGCCACGAGTGTCCTCGACTAGCAGATGCCTTTTACATTTTACGCATGTGTACAAATGATCTAACACAATTATATATAGAGACCATAACCAAAGATAACACATCCACCACAATAACACTACAAATAGATTATCATTATAAATAGAGTGCTTGCATGTCTCCATCGGCTTGTTGTGTATATTAAAACACATTCCATGGAACAACTTTGATTAATGCAAAGGGTACTGCCCACAATGTGTGACAGTATTCGTAAATTGGGAATTTCAAGGTACATGTTTGCCTGTTGCGACTACAGCGAATGCAGTAACCAAATCTTTCAATAATATTTTCAACATTTGCTACTCATGTTTGGCTGACCAAAATAACATGCCACCCATGACAGATATCGATGAAAGGAATGTTTGTCTCTCTGTGTGTTGTAAAACTTCATTATCCCTAATTAGTTTTCGGTTTCATGCAAATAGTGACGACAACAGTTTGATATGCGACACCAGCTACCTCACCAGCCACCATAAAAATAGTGCGAGCATAGGTGCAACTACTACTACTGGCGGTCAGGTCAACAGAATGATGCAGTGCTTCTAATTGAAGTCAGCTTATTTGCATTTTCATGTCATTTTGCAGTCGTATTTTGCAAGCCAGTTGGCAGTGTGCAGTGGCCAGATGGCAACATGCAAAAGGCATGTTGTTCCGGACATGTGTGTGGAGTGGCCTTCTGGGCCGCAGCTAATTTATTTATGTAAAATTAGCGCAGTGAACGTGTTGTTTTCGCTGTTGGTGAATGGTAATTTTATTTGCTAGTATTGGTATTTAATTTTCACTGGCCACTGTCCGCTGTGCTGAAATCAATTAGCTACGCGCATCGAATTACAAATTGCTTAGTTTATGAGGTTTTAGCGCCCGCATCCCGTGGTCTTGGCTATTATATATGTGTAGTGCAGATTGACAGGAGCACCGTCTACACTGCACCCAGCATCGCACTTGCTTGTTTTTCTCACGGTGTCCCCAAACAATGTGAGACAGGACGTTACACACACAGTACTCTTGGGTTGGATAGCACCGTAAATTGATTCTCTCGATTCATATCGCATTTATGGCAAGCGCAACCCTCGAGGCGAAATCCTCGACCAGCCATGCATCGCTGCTGTTGTTGGTTCAGTTGAATGCGTGCACTTGGAGTGTTCATTGTGTTTCTATGATGGCACTCTGTGTTTTTCATGTCCAGTGCACACACACCATAAATGCGACTAGTTATTTTTCTCATTTTGTAAGAATGATTGTCAAATTAGCTGTTAAGAAATCGGTTGCACACAACTTGTCCACACACATCCAATCCATATACTAAATAATTTTATATCAATTGACTTATTTTATTGCTCTCCTTTGAAATGTTGAGTTGCTGTTGAAATCGATCGATTCGAATATGTTGGCAACTTGTATTATGTTTAATGAATAGGTAATTTACATATATTATTGTATAATATGTATATTATGATTACGATTAATAAATATAAATAAACACTTCGATTTTAACAATTTTAAATTTGGCTTAAATAAATGCTATTGAACTTGCTGATGCTCGATATGCCTTTATTTGGATTGTTTGTTATCTTTAATGGGGCGGATGAAGGATATCAACCAATTGAAGCGTTATTAATGAAAATGTGCATTAATTGTGCATGATTTCATTGGTTAATGCGGCATGGACATGAAGAACCAGTGAATAGACCATATTAAAGCTGTCGCCAAACCAACTTGAATTTACTGAAAATAAAGTTAAATGCAATTGAGGAGTCCCGAGTGCTTTATAAATAATGATAATGAAATTCTACTTCCACTTAACCAGTTGTCCAGTTGTCCAGATGTTCATTGGAATTGGAAGAGGACTCAACTCAACTGGAACTCGGACACAAATTGGCACCACGGTTATCGCTCAGACTTTCATTTAAGTTAAGTGCACAATGCAAATAAATAAAAGTAAATTCTGAGCGGAAAATTGCAAGGGGTATGTAAAGGAACTCTGTCGCTTGGCTTGCTGAACTTTTGTCAAACTGTTGGCCAACCGAATTCCTGAACATCTGTGCCTCACAGTATGCAACGCGTATGCCATAACTGGTCATGCTTGTGGGCGTGGTAGTGGGCACAGAACGTGTGCTGCAAATGGACAGTTTGGTTGCCCAACGGATGTACGCACTTATAAAAAAAAATTAAAGAAAATAAGTATATCTGGCTCATGAAAAAAAAGTGCATGGAAAGGATTCGGTTATATTGCACCGGTTGGAGGTAAAGAAATGAAAACTCAGTTGTCAACTGGCATTGCACGAAACGTCAGTCAGATGTTAAATGTACACACATCTACAGAGATATGCGATAAGCTTATTTTCGGTTGAAATTCTTGTCAGAAATTTGGAAAACAACATTTTGAAAAGCGCAAGTTTATCAAAATACAGTGGAAGCGTGAGAGAGGGCGTCTTATTTAATGATTTGATTTCTAATGAACCGAATAAATTCTTCACAATATTACTGAGTCATCGAAATTTATTAATGTTTGTTTTACTGGCGACAAAAAATGTATGAGAGGATAGACCTCTTGTGTGTATCTTGTTATTTTTGGCGAAACGGGATTAAATTAGTAAATAATTAAATAAATATATGCTTTATATGGACATCTTTTAATTGCTTAAAATAAATATTGTTTTGAAATTGTTTACGTATGTTTCAAATAATGTAAACTGAATGGAAATTAATGATGCAAGCCAAGGAACTACAATTTTGGGAGAGGGTAGTCTATCTGTTAGGGTCAACTAAGAGATATTCCTAATCCTGATTCAATTTATCATTTAATCTATTAGTCGAGCACTCACGACTAGACCAGCCATGCATCTTATATGGTAACATTGCTGTATCCCATGTAGTAAATGGAATACAACGAAATGGCAAGAACGTAACTAAAATTAAGGTTTCTTCAACGGACGAGGAATAAAGAAGGGTTCATTAAATTAATATTTGAAATTTCGGTCACATAAACTTTGTTGTCCCAGCGCCGCTTATGCAAATTGTTGCCTTATTGAATTTACACTTTGGAACTTTTGTCATGCTCTGTCCAGTCCAGGACAAGTGCTTCAAATGAGTGCCGCCTGCCCCACGGTGTGATGACGTTATTTTAAATTGCAGCAAAGGATTGCCTCCATGCTGGGCCTGGTCAATGATCCATGTGTGTTGGAAAACACACAATCACACACATATACACACAAGTCCTTAACATATCCTGGGGGGTGCCATTACGCCTTCTTGTAATAAACTTCAAAAAATAATTTCGCCATCGTCTAGGACAACTAAAAACTTGACACTTTGCGAAGAAACTTTCTGTGGCTTGAGTGTTGTACTTTTGAGTTGTGCATCGGCCAAGTATTCTGCGGTGCCGGAGCTGAGGAGGTAGAACGAAGGAAGGCTTGGGGCTAGTGACAGCTTAATTTAATTTGAGCACAAATTTCCAACTTGTGAGCTATCGAAATGCTGTTGTTCTTCTTGTTCGTGT